CTTTGGCTAACATTTACCTATTTTGGAAGGACTCTTCCTCTTTCCTACTTCCCCCTGCCCCAAAGTATAATTTCATAATCTGGTCACCCAAATTCCCTTCACTGTGGCCCTTATCCGAGTTGATATGCTCTGGATCTTGTCTGCTCATGTTGACCAAATTTCCTATTATATCGACCTGACTCATGCTCTATTACCATTGGATGTTTACTTCTGCATTCCAAGGGGTCAGGAAGTGATCTGGTATTCTGTTTAGAATAAGAGTAGAAAGGGAAAAGAAGTTTAATACACTATCCTTCCTAATAAGGGGGTGGTAGGTATGAGGCTTACATTTCATGGGTGACTGCAAAGCAGCAGAACTTTAACTCAACGAATTTCAGTGCTGAAATTCAGGAGCCCTGTTTCAAATTGGTGGAAGCAATATTTTGGGGACAAGGACATGTTTTTTTAGTACCTTTAGAGGTATGCACATACACAACCACCTGTTCTGAGTAAGAAAGGCCCAGCCCTGCAGCCAGGGAGAGACCCAGTATTTGTTTTGCATAGTCAGGTCTCTTTGCAGTTGAGGGTGGAAGTGCTGGCAAGAAATAGATAGCAGGAGAATATGCCTGACTGCTCTGTCAACAGGAAGACCAAGGACCCTACATCCCTTTCTTCTCCCCATGGGTTGGCATCAAGAAAGGGTACCGGCACCCCTCCCATGTGCACATGCATCCTCACTGAGGCACTCCCAGCCTCACCCCATGGTTTGCTTACTGGCTGTTTCTTAAAAGATCAGAGACAACTGATGCACAAGTGTCTGCAGCTGGTTCCTGCTTAGAATGTCATCTTACCATCCGCGCGGTTTTCTTTTAAGTGCTTATATGCCACAGACCAAATCTTCACGCCATTCTCCACTGTCTCTTTGAAAACAGCAGCAATGCTTTGTTCCTGAATACATAATGAATTAAACCAAAGAACTTTCTTTTTTTTTTTTTTAAAAAAAGCCCACTGCAATTCTGATTTGATACTGTTTATATTTCATTTTGCTCTGTTAATCCAAGATTTTCTGAGCATCTTCAGAGCCTAGCCAGAACATATTCACCAAGTTGACTAGGAAGGGCTCTAATTTAACTTTAACCTCAGAAAAATTTTTTATGTGACTTATAGTGGTTTCCAGTGGGAATCAAGAGCACCATTGCTCGTTCTTTTTGATTTTTTTTAAAAATTGTTTTTTTAGATGAACTTGACAGCACAGTGTATTTTTTTTTTAAATTTTTTATTGTGGGTTGTTCAAAACATTACAAATTTCTTGACATATCATATTCCACACTTTGATTCAAGTGGGTTATGAACTCCCACCTTCACCCCATACACAGATTGCAGAATCACATCAGTTACACATCCATTGATTTACATATTGCCATACTTTTATTTTTTTTAGCACAGTGTATTTTGACATATTATACATACATGGAGTATAACTTATTCTAATTAGGATCCCATTCTTTTGAGTTTCTGCATGAAAATTCATCTCTTTCACACACATAAATGCACACGGGACATCAGGGTGTATACACGCACACACATTCACACACCCTGTGAATCTCTGGTCTTCATTTATTAGTTGTTCACCCATTTGAATTAACTTCTCCACTCCTCCTCTAACTATTAAATAATAATACATACAGAAGGATTTTTAACTAAAACAACCTAGAGTCATAATTGTTCAGTTGTAAGAAAGAATTCTATTGAGGCTAGATGCAAGCCACCAATGGGAGATTTCTCTGGGAAAACGATATGGTCTCAGAACAGTAATAAACAGCATCTAGTTTATTAGTAAAAGAGTAAATAAGTAGTTTTAAAAATAATCATTCCTGTAAGTGGTGATAATGTTGCCATGTGAGCCGACACCATCCTTGCTGTTTCCTTTCATGAAAGCCACAGAAACAACGCTGCCAAGAGATTATTATGGTGGAACACAATATTGCACTGATGCTAAATTCATAGAGCTCCCACTAAACCTGAGTAGGAAAAACACATATGAGAAAGAAATAAAAGACTGAAGCAATTATAAATAGGGTCAAGACTAGTCCCTCGAGAAAGGAAGCTCTCAGTCTTCATTCTTGCACCACATTAAAACAATGCCCATATCACATAAGTCTTGGGATGATAACAGCATAGAACAATTTTTGAGGGCTGATTCTGTTTCAAGTCCCATGTTTAGAACTCTACTTGCTTTGTTCTGTTTGAGCCTCTTGATGACTCTTTAGGTAGAAACTATCATCATGCCCAACTCATAGATGTTTATCTATTTTGGAAACACATATGTGTTAAAGTCAATGCTTAGAATGTGCACATTTGAAATTCCCCTCAAACAGATCTGACTTGCTTAGGGACTGTGTTAGGATACACAGGCAGGTCATTGTTTTTTTCTCTTAAGCTCACTATTTATGTGCTATGTGGCACTGTGATGTGTCTATGCCTGTGTATGTGTGCAACACACATTTGAGTGTCACTTTTTTTTTTTGGCTTTACTTTACTATTTCTTTCATTTTTATAATGGACAAATGTACCCACTTTGATGTCTCTTGTTGGGGAATGTCTTTTACAGTAAAATTTCATGGAATATCATATCTCCCAGGAAGTCACCTCTAGAACTTTCAAGGGATATTAAATTCCTAAAACACAAACATGTATAAAGTCTTAAATTTACCATGTAAGAAATTCTGTGCCTCAGTGCTATCTCCCTAGATGTCATAAAAGCTAATGCCATTATGGCTTCCACCCCACCCTGCCCCTTTTCTGTCTTTCTTGTGGCTTGGGGCCTTTACAGCTTTTGCATCTATTTGCCTGGCTCTGGGATCAGGCTCCCTGACACTGTACCTCTGTGTAGCTTGGAGAGGCAACTTAAAATATACAATCTCCAGACGGGAATGATTTAGCAAAATTAAAAACAGACAGGGGCCAGAGAAGGCGGGAGGTGTCAAATGTTTCCTCTACCCCACTATCAGTTTGATGTGGTGGCCTTGTTCCTACCTAGTCCCCCTTCATGCTGTCCACTACCCAAAGTTAAAATGTCTGAAATGTTAACAGAATACACATGAATAGAGATATGTAAGCCCGGCCTTCTCCCTCAACACATGGAGTTTTAATTGTGGCTTATTTCAACTTAATTTTGCTTCACCCTTAGGATGAAAGAAACTTGTTTCAGTAAGTCTCAAGAGGTATTGTAAAACATAGGAGTACTTGCAAGAATCTACTCAGCCACCTCAAAAGAAATCATTGCTTTTGACAGATTATTTGCTTTGGGAGTGAATGTCCTCTCTCTAAACACAAACATGGTCATATTGATGAGCTGACTTTATAATGCACACACTTATTCAATTTTCATGTACATGTCTAATTAAAACCTCTGCTCTGGTTACAAAAAAAATCTAACAGGAAACATGCAAAAAGAACTATGTATGCATCTATTCTTTCCTTAGTCTCTGCCTGAGTATGGCAGCTTAATAGTGTCTGGATGTATAATTACAAATGGAGAATTTCCCAATCAGCCCAGTTTTTTTTTTTTTTTTTGAGACAGGGTCTCACTCTGTTACTGAGTGTGGCCTCAAATTTGCGATCCTCCTGCCTCGGCCTCTCAAGTAGCTAGGATTATAGGCATGTGCCACCCCACTCAGCCAATTATTCCAGATCTTAAATCAGCATGGCTCCACATAACCCACCAAGCCATCCTTAGGCCCAAGATGATGAGACAGGTTGGGATGACATGACTATTATTGAATGCAGTGCTGGTTAGTGAGAAGTCCATGAGGGCCACCGTTCTCTTCTCATCATTGATCTATTGTTTTCAGATCTTAGGTACATGTTGAAATCCATAGCAGGCAAAAGGCTACTGCTAGTTAAGCTGCGCGGAATCCCTAGCTTGCCTCCTGAGCACAGTCCTCCCTCGAACTTATAGATGTTTCAGGCTGTGACCAACTGTCAAAATGGTTTCAAGCACAATTTCTAAGCTCTAGTGAGGATGAAAGCCCTTGTACCTCCCTCTTGTTTCTTGTCAGTGCCTTGCCTGGCTTTCTGTAAGATAGGACCCATGGTTCTACAGTACAAAAAAGATAAGATGTTTGGTATCTTTCATTTTCTGCAAATGGTCTGTATTTACAATACTACTCCAGTGGTTTCTGACTACCGCTTAGGGCAATTTTGCTTAGCCTAGCGGAATGTCCTGGAAACTACTGGCAATGATTTAGCCTCCAAAATTGGAACGCATTTAGTAGAGACAGAAAGCCTATGAACAAATAGTGGGCATGTGCCAGAGTAAATAAGTGTGGTTCATGAGCTGCGGTCAGAAATGTCTCTCTTTCAGTATGCAGGGCAAAGCTTTTGCCAGCCTTTGCCATAAAGCCATCACACAGAGCAGTTTTTCCTCTCAGTAAGACAGATTCAATGAAAGAAGGCTGCTTTTAGGTCTTACTATCTACCATTGGCACCATAGTCACAGGTCATACCAAAGGAGACCTGAGTTGAAGGGTCTTTTTCTCCTATTAGCCTTTTTCAACCAGCCTGCCAAGCATCCATGAAAAAAGAACGAGACCCATGAGGGAGTGGGAGGAGGCTGGAAAGGTTAGAAGCGGAAAGACTCTTTGTAGCACTCAAAGCTCCTCCCAGGATCTCATAACAAGCCACAGAGTCAGTGTGCTTCCCCCTTTTCCAAACCCAAACTTTGGCCCTTATTGTATAACTCCTTCGAAGCACTCGGTGGGGTGATCCTTGCTGGGTGAAGTATGAGGACACGATAAGATGCTTTGCTGCCACCTTCCTTTACAGAGACTGAAAGAGACAGACATATGTGGTTTCCACTTTCTGCTGTTTGCATTTTCCTTTAGAACTTAACTCCTTGACCACATATTACAGAAGGATTTAGTACATTTGGATTGGACTAGCATGATTTCTGGTACAGTGTGCATGCTTGCCCTCTGAGCTTGGAGTTTGGTTTCATGTAGTTTTCTATTCCTCTGTAGACTGTGCAGTCTTAGCAACCACTGAAATTCAAGAAGGAGCCATTTTTTTTTCTTAGACTGAAGAAACCATCAATCAATACCTGGTAAGACTCATTCATTGTGGGAATATTGTCTCAGGGGCAGTTATAGTTCACCTTTAAAAAAAAAACGCACTTTCCAAAGCTTTCTTAGAATCACCAAAAAACAGTAAAATATGGATGAATGTTTTAGAACTACTGCAGATGTGACGGCTTTAGCAGTACAGAAACCCCAACCCCTATTTCTATACTAGGTAACACATTTCCTAATTAATTCCCATAGTTAAATTAAACCAATATTCATCAGGTACCCACAATATGCCAGACATTATGGTAGGTGCTCAGAACACAAAGATGAAAGAAATAAACATATCAATAAGTATTGACAATTGTCACTTCGGAATAGTGGGACTTAAGTGTTGGTACTCTGTTCAATTTAGAAACTTAAACAAGATATCTTTTTATTTTCCTATGAGAAAGAGAAAAAATGAGTCCCTCATTTCAAGGAGCATGCACTTGATGAATATGAAGATAAATGACCCAATCACTTAAATAATGTGTGACAAGCAGCCTAGTAGAGGGATACTCAGGATGACTCCGTTCCCTTAGGATCTAGAGCTACGCAGAAAATGAATCTCATATTCCACCATGAAGGAATAAGAACTAGCTTAGGAGTTTAGAAAGTAAAGCTGGTTTAATTTTTAAATTTTTTTGTAGTTATAGATGGACAGCATGCCTTTATTTTATTTTTTAATTTTTATGTGGTGCCAAGGATTGAACCCAGTGCCTCTCACATGCCAGGCAAGTGTTCTGCCATTGAGCCACAACCCCAGCCCCAGAAAGTAAAGCTGGTTTTATATTCCTGTTTCTTGCTTATCCATATACTCATGGACAAATTGTTTATCCTCATAGTTTCTTACTCTGTAAAATGGGAACACTTTTGTGTCTGTATTGCTTATTGTGTTTTTGGAAGGATAAAATGTGAAAACACAAAGGAAAGGGCAAAAAAAAAACTGTGCACATAATATAAATATAAGATGCTATTATGTAAGAGCCTTATTTGCTGGACAAACCTATGCAGTCAGTAGTAATTTATACTTATCTGTCTAATTAATAAAAGAAAGCAATATTTTCACTTTCTCATCATCTCAATATCTCCATTTTTTCCCTCAAGGCCTCATAATTAAGGACTGATGTCCTAAAGTGAACAATGACTAGAATAATAAGTTTTTGCTAGATTAACTGAAGTTGGGAGGTAGACTGTCTTAATGGAATGAGCAGAGGCTTTGAAGTAGATAGATCCACTTTTTAAAAATCCTTGTCTTGGGGCTGGGGCTGGGGCTCAGTGGCAGAGTGCTTGCCTTGCACATGTGAGGCACTGGGTTCGATCACCACACAAAAATAAACAAATAAAATAAAGGCATTCTGTCCATCTACAACTACAAAAAAATAAAAATTAAAAAAATCCTTGTCTTTAAACTACCCCCTCCTCACTGCAAATAGGGTAAAAATTTCTACCTCAAGCATTTGCTAATATTGAATGAGATAAAGATATGAAATGTAGCTCTTTTTCTAGGCACCAGTGACACTGGCACATAATGATCCTCATTTTTATTTTGTAGTGCCCAAGGCTCTTACGAATTAATGCTATAGTAAATTAATATGCCAATATTTCAATATAAGAACTAGAGTGATAATGAATAGAAAAGGAAAAATCCAAAAAGGAAAACGGAAGGCAATTCATACTCAACACACAAAATTAGCTGATCTGGAATTTCTGGGTTAGCCTGAATATTAAATGAATGGTGGAAGTATAAAATGCTAACTAGCCTTTGCTTAAACTGAAAACTGGGCATTCTAATCTCACTTGCTTACTTTTTTGACTCCCAACTCATTCCCCCAAATTGCACCTCAACAAAGACCATCACGTTTCCCGGCCCTTTTGAGTCTAACTAATGCAATAATCTTGTCACCCAAGCTTCTGCAAGGAGTCCTGCCAATCACAAAAGAACAGGGTGACATGGATTCAAAATACAGAAGCAAAAAAACCCAACAACCAATTACTGGAAGGACAGAAAGTGTATGTGACATTTCTACCCAAGGTTCTGAAAAATGCTGCCATATTGTCATTATGTTGTCCCACCCCCAGCACTGTTCTCCACAACTCAGGATGAAAGCCTAACTTAAGGGGCTAGGGTTGTGGCTCAGTGGTAGAGCTCTCTCCTAGCAAGTGTGAGGCGAGGCCCTAGGTTCATCCTCAGCACCACATATAAATAAATAAATAAAAATGTCAAACAAAGAAAAAAGAAAGCCTAACTTAAGGGTGGGGAAATGCATTTCACACAAAGATCCTTGAATTCTTTTTTTTATTATTTTTATTTTTAGTTGTAGATGGACACAATGCTTTATTTTGTTTATTTAGTTTTATGTGGTGCTGGGGATGGAACCCAGGGCCTCATACATGCTAGGCAACTGCTCTAACACTGAGCTACAACCCCAGCCCCCCTTGGATTCTTTTAATAATGCTTAAGTTTTGATCTTTCTCAATTTAGTGATTTTTTTTAGTACTCGAAACACCTTTTCCATATTCCACTATTTTGTAAGAATTTCACTCTGAATTACATATTAGCAAAGGGTTGTAAGGTCTGATAAAATGTGGCAGAATCACAACTTCAGTCATATCTAATGATCATGTTTTTAAAATTGATTTTTAAATTTTTATTTCCTTTAAAATTTCTCAAAGGTACATCAGTGGGAGAAGAAGATAGCATAGGACTTGGTGGGAAAAAAAGCATCAGTTTAAGTTGGAACAGACTTAAATATCAGTTCTTGTTAAACTACAGAAAGCAAATCAGATGGTTTTGGTAAAGGATAATTCAAATACATTACAAGTACACACACACACACACACATGCATATACACACACTCGCAATGCATGCACAGGGTTACAAACTGAGTTTTTTTACCTGCATTTGTTTCCCTTATGTCCCCTGTCCTTGCCCGACCTTGAATACTTCCAGTATATAGAATATCTTACTCTATTTATTTTGGTTAAAAAAAAAAAACAACTACTAGACTATTGAAAAGCCATGAGAAAAACACAATTGAGAAATGGTGTAAATCAAACTGATCCACCTTTCTGACTTGTGATGTGGTCAGGGTATCTGGACACTGTCAGGGCATTGCAACCCGTATCCCAAAGTGACTTTGTTATATGAAAGGACTTTAATTTTTTTCCTCTTTGTAACCTTGTGAAATTTCCACATTAAAAAGCAATCACATCTTTCAAACTAGAAATGATTGTGTTTGGCACCACAGTCTCTGGTGTAAGGGGTTGAGCTTGTTTTCACTAAAACGAAATCAGCTTTCAAAATAAATCATCTGTAACAACATTCTACTCCCCAAATCGTATAATCCTATTAACAGAGTTTCTTTTTTCTTTTTTTTCATTGTCACTGGGCTGACAAGATTGGCCAAGTTTCAACATGGAGAAGCGGAAAACTTTAGAGGACCTGGCCAAGGCAAGGAGAGCTACCCAGTTGTAACCTTACCAGAGCTTAAAGAGCCCTTCATTATACTCACCTGTGCTTCATCTCCACCTCACATGCTCTGTGGATAACATGGTTAACCAGTCACTCGGCAGATCAAGCCACTGAACAAATGGTCCAACTGGGACAACAGAAGCACAGTCATCCATGGTCATCCCAGTGAATAAGGCCTCTATCAAGTCATGTGCGTGCCGGTGCACTGAATGAGAACATAACCCAAGTGACTGCTGACACAGTCTTTGCCAGAAGTGTAAATTATGTGGCAACATCTAAAAGAGCACCTTATAATTTCAGATTTCTTGGGAAAGCATGTTTTTCTTTGGTGGAAGAAAGAGGAAGAAAGAGCTGCCAACAGGAAGAAAGAGCTCCAAGAAAATATGTAGGGAGTTCCCCGTCAAAATGTACTGCTCAGCTTGCCCCTTCCCTTCTAAACAGTTGGAGACACTATTTGCATTTGGATTCAATGGTCAGGCAATTGATAGCCTAATGTTCTTATTAAGGTAACCTAGCTGAAGCAGCTGGAAGCTGTGGTCAATTTATACTTTTCCACCCTAATTGAGGGATCCCAAATCTTCGTTAGCCAGAGCCTGTTTCTCTTGGATGAGCTGCTTCCCTTTGAGCTATATAGACAATTCACCTCTTCTCCCTGTAGAGTCCTTCTTCACATCAGTCCCTGGGGACAACTTTGTCCATGAGCCAACAATTTGTATCATAACATTTGTATGTAGGTTGGAGAGCAAATCAGTTTTTTGGGAGTCAGTACAAATTTGGCCTTGATCGGATTTTTCTCCTGAGAAAGATATCCCTAGGTCAGAATTTCATATCAGACTCCTTGGTTTTTAGCTTTTCTTACTTTATTAACAATTGACTGATTCTAGAATCAGTCTTGGGTTTGAATTTTGTTATTAGCCTACTAAACTTGACCAAGGCATTGAAGCTCATTAAGAGTCAGTTTCTTGGGACTGGGGTTTGGCTCAGTGGTAGAGCACTTGCCTAGCATGGGAGAGGCACTGGGTTTGATTCTCAGCACCACATATAAATAAGCGAAATAAAGGCCCACTGACAACTAAAGAATATTAAAAAAAAGACTCAGTTTCTTAATCTATTGAGAGTGTATAATAATATTACTTAGCTCTAAGGATTATTGCATGCATCAACTAATAATTGGAAATTAGCAGTTATGTTCCCCCTTAGAATAACTATGGGACCATTGTGCATAACATTAATTTTATATAAATGAGCAATGGCAAATAGTAGGAATAAATAATTTCATAATCTCAAACTGCTGAAAACATTTTTTCAAACTTTTATTATAATAAAAAAAGGTAATTAGATATAAATGGAGGGTTCTAAGTGTTCACCATTTACTTTGTCTGAATTCCCTAGAGGTGGATGGTTTCCTTACATTGCAGATTAAACAGTACTTAACAGCTGATTGACTTCCTAGGCCACAAGAAAACAGCAATTTTCTATGGGAAGTTACTTTTGGGTCTGAATTAGTTTTAGATAAATTGTCAAGGCTCACAGAGCTTGAATGAATGATAACTGGCTTTTGTAAGGTATCCCACTGTTTAATTTTATGGTCATTATTTCAAATCTGTGAAAATAGAAGTTACATTAGAGAAAGAATATTTCCCTTTCAATGAAAAGTTTAGTAGTTATGCTAAATGAGTGAAGACCTGTCCTCTGCCCCATGTAAGTCATCCAGCTTTCATACAGAAATAGCCATATTGTAAGTTCTATCTTCTTATGAGAGAATATATATGTGTATAATTTTATTGGGATATTAGACAATTAAAGGGATGCTTATGACATTCTTTATGTAATTATAAAATTTTTCTTATTTCCATTCTTTACCAAATAATATTCATCTTACATACTGTCTAGATTTGAAACATACTTTTTTATAATTCATTGTATGCTGTGTGTTGCTGAAGATGATGTGAGCCAACAGATGTCTATTTTGATCTAAAATGGTTAATTGTACATAAAACAAATTAGAGTTTGACAAATCATTTCTTATAACAAATTGGGGTTTAGAAACTCCATTAATCGAGTATTTCTTCACGAAAGATTGGGCTAGACATGAAGATAATTCAACAAGTTGTAAAAAAATCACAATGGCTATTTATTTAACAATATTTGTTGCTTATTATAAAGGTTATTATTGTGTACTGAGGCATATCTTATACATCATAAGTTATCTCATTGTAAACTAACAATTGACTGTTTCAAAGTAAGTTTGTAGAGTTGTACAACTATTGTCAAGATCCAGTTCTACAACACATTGAGCAATTATTGATCCTGAGTTTTAGGTTGTTTGGACAGAACCTACAGGATGTGCAGCCAAAATGGAAGGGTCCTCAAATGAGTTTAATCATTCCTGGGTTGCTTTACTAACTTTCATCATATCATGATGAAATAATTTATATATATGGCTGTCTACCTGACTAATTCCTGAGCTGTTCAGAGATGAGTATCTGGCAAAAGTAAAAGCTTTAACATGTTTCTGATAATATTGAAATTTGGGAATATTGCTCTGTGAATGGTGAATCAGGTACCAATGCCGGTCTTAATGTTTGGTTCCTCAGGCTCTCTTAACTTTTGTTTTACATTATTTTGATCTTAACATGTAACAAACTACAAGTGTTTTCTTTTCTTTGTTTTATTTATTCATTTTTTTTGGTGGGGGGTACCTGGTATTGAACTTAGGCACTTGACAACTGAGTCACATCCCCAGCCCTATTTTGCATTTTATTTAAAGATGGGGTCTCACTAAGTTGCTCAGCGCCTCAATTTTGATGAGGCTAGCTTTGAACTCAAGATCTTCCTGCCTCATCCGCCCAAGCTGCTGGGATTACAGGTGTGCATCACTGTGCCCGGTTACAAGTGTTTTTGTTAAATGTAAATTTTAAAAGGGCTGCACTTAACTTTGCTTACTTAGCCATTTCTGTCCAGGGACTTACCCTGGAGCTCTACTTTTGCTCGGGTGGTATCTTCACAGAACAAGGAATACTAGGTAAATATCACATAAAAGCAGTAGTTCAAAATTGCTACTCCCACACAATGATCATTGTGCTTCCAAGTAACCAGATGTTGAATATGGCATTGCAGTTGTTGAAGCTGGTATGCATCTCTCTGATGACAGTAGCTTCTAACTGGGGACTGGTGGTCTGACCCTCTCCTTTAGGCTGCCAAAACAATTATTGAAGAGTGAAAATGCAGTTTATCAATTCACTTTTTGGATATACAATGGATACCCTCATCCCCACACTATAAGACCAAACTCATTTGAATAGTCTCTCCTACAGAACAGGCAGCCATTCTGGCAGTTTGTTGACAGCCTCTGTGGAGAGGGGAGTGGAGCACTTTTGGATTTAAACGTTGTGCTGCTGTGGTCCTGGGTGAAGCAGAGCTGCAGCCAGGCCAGCTCATCTCCTACACAAATTTCTCTAAACAAAGTAAAATAGGCTGTCAGCCAAGAATCTTACATCTCTGTCCCCTCTACACACACACACAAACACTGCCCCCATAGTGGTGTCTTGGTAAGGAGGATGGGTTTTCAGTCGGACACAAAGAGGAACAAATACTCCATGAAACATTAAATCCTCAGTTCCCCTTCAGAACATGAAATCTTGACACCTACAGACAAAAGACAGAACCTACACTCAAAGTTTATGAAGTTAATTTAACTCCAAACTGGAGTAAGCAAGGATATTACCCTATTAACCTTGGGCAGACAACTGAGCTTATATCATGGTCTGGAATCTTGCCCTTAAAATCCACAATTGCTGTGTATTACATGATCACTTGCCTGCTAACAATTACTCCCATGTGGTAGGATGACATTCTTTTCCTTCTCATAATAATGTGTCCCTGGGGCACAGGTGTCATCCAAAAAAAAGGCCTTATTTTCTACATAATTATTTTTCTAGAAGTTTGGCCAAATGGCTACCACTTATTTCATTGCCTTTAACATTTTCTGGATCAAGCAGAAATATGTAAAAGAAAAACAAAAGGGGACATTGGGCTTTTATCACTGTGGTAGGGTGGTCAGGTCAAAGGCCAAAGCCATTTAGACAGATTCTCCATTTATGAGAATGACATAAGTTTTGGACAATTCAAGATGGCGGATTCTCTTTTTTGTGTGTGTGCTGGGAATTGAATGCAGAACCTCATTCATGCTAAGCATGTGCTCTACCACTGAACTACGTCTTCAGCTCCAAGATGATAAATGATTAATTTGAACATCCAAAATTCCTACATTATTAAAAAAGACTGCTGGTGTTATGCTGGCTGGTCTGATTTAAGTAGAAAATGAGCAGCTGAGGTAAACCAATAAAACTTTTAGAGCCTTAGATTGTATTTGTGGCAGATAAGATGAAACAGAACATTTCTTCTTAGTTCTTATCTCATATTACTCTATGACATAATGATGAAGCTTGGTGTGCATTTAGATGTTGTACACAGCTGTACTCTGTATTGTGTGTGTGTGTGTGTGTGTGTGTTACTTTGGTCACATACTTATATGGCTCTGTTCTTTATTAGGCTATCTATGAGAACAAGGACTGTATCTCTGTCATTTTTCAGTTTGTTTCTAGCCAGGTTCAGTAAATATTTTGTGAATGAATGAATTATAGCAGACACTAAAGGACATATCTTGAATGACATGATGCTAAGCTTAACCACAATTCTATTGTTGGGGAATTCCTTAGGTCCAGATCATTAGGAGAAAACTAATTTATCTGCTAGTTTGGGCTAACTTAAACCTTCAGACAGGTAGATATTACATGCTTGTCTTCCTTTATGGAATCTGGATTAAGTATAATGTGAGGTCACTCTTAACAGATATTAATAGAAAATCAGATTGGTTAAACGTATTAAAAAATGTACTTTTGGTTTTCAAAATCAGCACGGAAAGCTAGAGACCCCATCAGTGGTAACCTATTTTAGGCGAGTCTTCCTCTACTAAATTTGTGTTTAATGAAATCTGATTGTATTTATCCTGTACCTAATATATTTTTTACCCCAAGAAGCTCAGAATGGCATGTCAGATAACATCTTTTTAATCATGGTTATATTTAAATAAAGAAGCAAATGTTGTGATATTGTGGATTTTTAAGAATTGAAGTTGAAGATAAATTAGATTACTTTTGCTAGGTCAATCAAGTCAGGCTTTAATTCATTTAGTATTTAAAAACCATATTTTATATGTGCCCAGTCAATATCAGAATAGAAAAAGGTAGAAAAAGAAAACAAAAAAGTATTTAAAGTGCCTGTGCTTTCTTTAGCAATATTCAT